CAAAATAACATCTGTTTCTCTGCGGATTATTATTATTATTATTATTATTATTATTATTATTATTATTATTATTATTATTATTATTATTATTATTATTTTCTTATAATTAATATAGTCACGGGAAGGGTCCTTGGATCAAGAACCTTCCAAAAGTATCAAGGCCCCTCCCCCTCTCCCCTTGATGAGGTGTAAAGGGAATGAACATGCAAATGTAATCGAATATGGATGCAACTTGTGAGTCATGAGTGTGAGGTGAGTCAGGTAGGATGACTCACTCTTACCCAGGTTCCTGAGATCATCGCCCCGTTGCTGGGCTTCGTACCAAGCCTCTTAGTTCAACGTCTTGCTCAGTCAGGCTGTTGGTGCTGGTGGCATAAAGTCCAACAGTATGGATGCATTTTGGTCACTCCAAAAGACCATTTGGAGTGACCGAGTTGCCAGGACCGAAATATATCCAATAAAGATGTCGTAAATGTAAACACTATGCTCCCTCTCATCCATATTATTGGTGTAAATTGTTTACAAACATTATCTCTCAGTCCACAGCAGGATTCGAACCGTCAAACTCGGCATCAGAGTACACAGTACTTACTCCGCAACGCCAGATTCTGGAGTCCGACTGTGTGGGTAAAGTACTGTGTACTCTGACGCCGAGTTTGCAGGATCGAATCCTGCTGTAGACCAAGAAATAATATTTCTAAATAAATTTCGCCTGTCTGCGAAATGATAAATATTGTTGGTGTAGTTATGTCTTCTGCTTTCACCAAATTCAACGTAAATTCAACGGACTGGAAGTTTTTTGAGAGAATTTGTGAAGTTTAATCTTAAGAGATAAATGTAAGAGCGTTAATTTCTTACATAACTGACGTGATGGTCTTGAAAAGTCTTATATTTTTATGTAGAGATATCTGTTATTACAGCCCTGATTTCATCTTTTTTTTTTTTTTTTTTTTTTTTGCACTAACAACTGTGCCTCCCACTCCAGTGAGGAGTTATTTCTGAGTGTAGATTTGTAAGTAATCCCTCTAATACTAACCTTTGTTTACCTGCATTTGTAAGTAATCCCTCTAATATTAACCTTTAAGAACATAAGAACATAAGAACGAAGGAACACTGCAGAAGGCCTACTGGCCCATGCGAGGCAGGTCCAAGTCTCCTACCGGCTTAAGCCAATGCACCCAACCTAGTCAGGTCAGGTCACATTGACTTAAGGGAGGAACACGGCAACCGACCTGGTAGCACAAGCTATCAGGTCTAACTCACACCCACCCACATCCACTCATGTATTTATCCAACCTATTTTTAAAGCTACACAACGTTCTGGCCTCTATAACGGTACTTGGGAGTTTGTTCCACTCATCCACAACTCTATTACCAAACCAGTACTTTCCTATATCCTTCCTGAATCTGAATTTTTCCAACTTAAAACCATTGCTGCGAGTCCTGTCTAGGCTAGATATTTTCAGCACACTATTTATATCCCCTTTATTTATTCCTGTCTTCCATTTATACACCTCAATCATATCCCCCTAATTCTACGTCTTTCTAGAGAGTGCAGATTCAGGGCCCTTAGTCTATCCTCATAGGGAAGGTTTCTGATACATGGGATCAACTTTGTCATCCTCCTTTGTACATTTTCCAGAGAATTTATATCCATTCTGTAATAAGGTGACCAAAACTGTGCAGCATAATCTAAATGAGGCCTAAAACCCAAAGGGTGTATAGAGTTGAAGAACAACTTGAGGACTCCTATTATTTATGCTTCTTGATATGAAGCCAAGGATTCTATTAGCTTTATTGCGAACACTTATGCATGTTGTCTTGGTTTCAGATTACTGCTAACCAGAACTCCTAAATCTTTTTCGCAATCCGTAATATTAAGATCTACATTATTTAGTTTATATGTGGCATGGTTATTGTCCTGTCCAACATTTAGAACTTTGCATTTGTCTATATTAAACTGCATCTGCCACTTCTCCGACCACTGCATTTAGTCTATTCAAATCTTCCTGGAGTGCTCGAATGTCCTCGTCAGAATGAATTTGACGGCCTATTTTGGTGTCATCGGCAAACTTGCCGATGTCGCTCTTTATCCCCTCATCTATGTCGTTTATGTAGATTGTGAACAGCAGGGGGCCCAAACACTGCCCCCTGTGGAACACCGCTCGTGACACTTCCCCACTCTAATTTCTCCCCATTTATGAAACTTCTGCTGCCTTTTTGTCAACCATGCCTCTATCCAGGAAAAAATTTCTCTCCTATTCCATGTGCTTTAATTTTCCTAAATAGTCTCTGATGTGGGACCCTGTCAAAAGCCTTATGAAGTCCATATACACAATATCATATTCATTACCATGATCTACCTCCTCAAATACCTTAGTGAAAAAAGTTAATAAATTCGTAAGGCGGAACGCCCCTTTGTAAAACCATGCTGAGATTCTTTGGTTAATTTATGCTTTTCAAGGTGGCTACGAACTGCCTCGGCAATTATTGATTCCATAAATTTTCCCACTATGGAGGTTAGGCTTATTGGCTTAGTTCAAAAGCTAAGGACCTGTCACCTGTTTTGAAAATAGGTATCACATTTGCCATTTTCCACTTTTTCTGGCACCATGCCAGTTTGTAGTGATATGTTGAAAAGATTAGCCAAAGGTGTGCTAAGCTCCTCTTTACTTTCCCTTTTAGAACCCTTGCATACAGTTCATCAGGGCCTGGGGATTTGTTAGGTTTTAATTTATCTATTTGCCTAAGGACCATGTCATAGTGACCCTAATAGTCCCACAGTTTATTATCGTCCTGTTCTACATAATTTATCATTACTGGAATATCGCTGGTATCCTCCTGTGTAAAAAACTGAGAGGAAGTATGTGTTAAAATTTACACATTTCCTTATCACTGTCAGGAGCTGACCCGAGGAACTTTTGAGTGGGCCTATCTTGCCCCTGATCTTACTTCGGGTTACCTGAAAGAATCCTTTTGGGTTAGTCTTCGATTTCTTGCAACTTTAACCTCATAATCTCTTTTTGCTTTTTTTAATTCCCTTTTTTATTTCTCTCTTTAACTGAATATATCGTTTTCTCAATTGCCCCTCTCCTCTTTGATTGCCTATATATGCTCTCTTTTGACCAATCAGATATTTTAATCTATTGTTCATCCATTTAGGATCTTTTTTTGTTTGATCTGATTTCCCTATTTGGAACATAATTTGACTGAGCAGCTAGAACTATGCCCTGTAAAGCATCATATCGGCAACCATCACCACCTACCTGACCCTTAGTCAGGTCATTCCAGTTCAGCCCACGTAAGTAATTTTTCAGTCCTATGAAATCAGCCAAGCGAAAGTCAGGGACGGAGACTTGATTGCCATTTGTTTACTTGCATTTTGTAAGTAATCCTTCTAATATTAACCTTTGTTTACCTGCATTTGTAAGTAATCCCTCTAATATTAACCTTTGTTTACCAGCATTTGTAAGTAATCCCTCTAATATTAACCTTTGTTTACCTGCATTTGTAAGTAATCCCTCTAATATTAACCTTTGTTTACCTGCATTTGTAAGTAATTCCTCTAATATTAACCTTTGTTTACCTGCATTTGTAAGTAATCCCTCTAATATTAACCTTTGTTTACCTGCATTTGTAAGTAATCCCTCTAATATTAACCTTTGTTTACCTGCATTTGTAAGTAATCCCTCTAATATTAACCTTGTTTACCTGCATTTGTAAGTAATCCCTCTAATATTAACCATTGTTTACCAACGTCTCAGGGGAGTACGAACTGAGGGTCTTCAGGGGCTCACAATAATTTAGGATCTTGAATTCATACTGTAAAAGAAAATTCTCTGTACATTCTCCAGACACGTAACTGTTGTAGTATACTTGGAAGGTGTTCCAGGGGTCAACGCCCCCCCCCCCACCGCCGCCCGGTCTATGACCGGGCTTTTTGTGTGCAGCAGTAATATGGAATATTAGAAAGTATAAAGCACAACACCGTGACTCGAACAATACACACATTACCCGCACTTATGACGACGTTGCGGCCCGACTTGGACCGAAACGTGCGTATACCGAATATTAGTAGTGTTGTAAGAGGTATCGTCACTGGCGTCCCATTACTTGTTTTAAAGCTGTCTTTTTTTTTTTTTGTCGCTTGAAGGGAGGTTCCTTGATGCCGGTGATGGGTGGGGGGGGTGGGTTCTAGATCCAAGGAACTGAACCTATCCTTCCCTTCCTTGAATCAAACCTGATTGCCTCCAATCTTTCCCCCCCCCAGGAGCTGCATAACCCCTACGGGTTTAGAGCTTCCCCCTATGAATGTAGTAGTAGTAATAACTGTAACAATAAATGATAATAACGTGATAATTACATCGTGTAACAAGGTAAATGGGACACATAAGCAAAGACATGAAGTCTTAAACAGACTTATAATGGATGTAAACGTGTATTACACAGTTATAATACATGTTTGATATGCGCCGATGTCTTTCTGCCGGACTTGTCTCCAGTACCTATCATCCTACGCAGCAAGTCTGTATCAGGCGACGTTAGCGCTCGAACGTGACCTGAAAATGGTGAACATCGAGCGAAACGTTGTCCAATAATGTCTTGTTCTGCTGTAAGTGTCTTTATATACAACCTTATTTTCCCAACAAAGCAATATTTTTTCCCTGTCTAGGTTCAACTGAACTAACCAGATGTGCAACACCTGCAGTGCTCATACAGCGCCTGGGGGGAGAATAGGGAGGCAATCAAGCTTAATGCAGTGAAGAGTAACTCTCTAATTCCTTGAATCAAGAGCCCCTCACTAGCATCAAGGAACCCCCCCACCCCCACCCCGTTGAAGAGGCAAAATGACCCCTAGGTTCTTCTCCTCTTAAAAGTAATATTTTCTTTCGTCTGGGTTGTTCAGTGCACTGAAGGGTGCAGCTTGCTCCTCCGTAAGGTAATCATTAGTAATAGGTCAGTAAGTAGCCTTACATCAAGGATAAACGATGATTGAATATATTGACTGTATTCGAAATATTTATTATTAAAAGGTATATTTATTATATAAACTCAGTTGCAAGACAGAGTAAAGAGCTGTGGGGATTTTACTTATGGTCATATTTACAGGTAATGTACACGTACCAGTCTCAGACAGGACAGAGAAGCTGGCAAGATCTAGTCTTTGAGATGGGCCGACTGGACTAAAGGATGTTCATGATATCTGAAAGCACCCGGTAAGCCGTAAGCACCAGGGAAGCTGTACAAACTTGGAAAGAGGGCTAGAGGAGCTCCAGGAACGGAACTTGCGGCAACCACGGGGGCATGGAGACCGTAGGCGCCGTATGGAAGAGTGTCTGTGTAGAAGGGCGAGAGTTTACCGTCGAGGTCGGAGAGAAAACCGGTGTAGGCGGAAATTTTGCCGTCCAGATCGTAATCTGGAGCAGCCTTAGCGCGAGCTGCGGCAGCATCAAAAGCCGCATGGAATGCGACTTTCGCAGCAGCTACTTCTGGCGTGTCTTGTACAGGGAGGGGTAAGCCCTCTGGAACACCGAATGCAGGTCTGTATATAACCGGGGTGGGGACGGGCACGGGAGGAATGACTGCTTCAGGAGGTGAGAAACTCTCAGGAGGAGTGAATTCCAGGGGGACTTCTTCAGGAGGAAAACTCTCAGGGGGAGTGACTTCCCGGGGGACTTCTTCAGGAGGAAAACTCTCAGGAGGAGTGTGTTCCTGGAGGACTTCTTCAGGAGGAGTGACTTCCGGGGAGACTTCTTTAGGAGGAGTGGCTTCCGGGGGGACTTCTTCAGGAGGAAAACTCTCAGGGGGAGTGACTTCCCGGGGGACTTCTTCAGGAGGAAAACTCTCAGGAGGAGTGTGTTCCTGGAGGACTTCTTCAGGGAGGAGTGACTTCCGGGGAGACTTCTTTAGGAGGAGTGGCTTCCGGGGGGACTTCTTCAGGAGGAAAGCTCGCAGGGGGAGTGACTTCCCGGGGGACTTCTTCATGAGGTGGGGGACCCTCAGGAGGAGAGACTTCCGGGGGGACTTCTTCAGGAGGAGTGACTTCCTGGGTGACTTCTTCAGGAGGAAAGCTCGCAGGGGGAGTGACTTCCCGGGGGACTTCTTCACGAGGTGGGGGACCCTCAGGAGGAGAGACTTCCGGGGGGAATTCTTCAGGAGGAGTCAATTCCGGGAGGGCTTCTCCACGAGGTGGGGGACTCTCAGGAGGAGAGATTTCCGGGGGGACTTCTTCAGGAGGGGTAAATTCCGGGGACACTTCTTCAGGAGTGACTTCCGAGGGGACTTCTTCACGAAGTGGGGGACCCTCAGGAGGAGAGACTTCCAGGGGGACTTCTTCAGGAGGAGTGACTTTCGGGGGGCCTTCTTTACGAGGTGGGGATCCCTCAGCAGGAGAGACTTCCGGGGGGACTTCTTCAGGATGAGTGACTTCCTGGGTGACTTCTTCAGGAGGAAAGCTCTCAGGGGGAGTGACTTCCCGGGGGACTTCTTCAGGAGGAGTGACTTCCGGGGGCACTTTTTCAGGAGGAGTCACTTCCGGGGGGACTTCTTCAGGAGGTGGGGGGACCCTCAGGAGGAGAGACTTCCGGGGGGAATTCTTCAGGAGGGGTCAATTCCGGGGGGCTTCTCCACGAAGTGGGGGGACTCTCAGGAGGAGAGATTTCCGGGGGGACTTCTTCAGGAGGCGTGAATTCCGGGGGGACTTCTTCAGGAGTGACTTCCGAGGGGACTTCTTCACGAAGTGGGGGACCCTCAGGAGGAGAGACTTCCAGGGGGACTTCTTCAGGATGAGTGACTTCCAGAGGGACTTCTCAGAAGGAGTCACTTCCGGAGGACTTCTTCAGGAGGAAGGCTTCAGGGGGAGTGACTTCCCGGGGGACTTCTTCAGGAGGAGTGACTTCCGTGGGGACTTTTTCAGGAGGAGTCACTTCCGTGGGGACTTCTTCAGGAGGAAAGCTCGCAGGGGGAGTGACTTCCCGGGGGACTTCTTCACGAGGTGGGGGACCCTCAGGAGGAGAGACTTCCGGGGGGAATTCTTCAGGAGGAGTCAATTCGGGAGGGCTTCTCCACGAGGTGGGGGGACTCTCAGGAGGAGAGATTTCGGGGGGACTTCTTCAGGAGGGGTAAATTCCGGGGGGACTTCTTCATTAGTGACTTCCGAGGGGACTTCTTCACGAAGTGGGGGACCCTCAGGAGGAGAGACTTCCAGGGGGACTTCTTCAGGAGGAGTGACTTTCGGGGGGCACTTCTTTACGAGGTGGGGATCCCTCGCAGAAGAGACTTCCGGGGGGACTTCTTCAGGATGAGTGACTTCCTGGGTGACTTCTTCAGGAGGAAAGCTCTCAGGGGGAGTGACTTCCCGGGGGACTTCTTCAGGAGGAGTGACTTCCGGGGGGACTTTTTCAGGAGGAGTCACTTCCGGGGGGACTTCTTCAGGAGGTGGGGGACCCTCAGGAGGAGAGACTTCCGGGGGGAATTCTTCAGGAGGAGTCAATTCCGGGGGGGCTTCTCCACGAGGTGGGGGACTCTCAGGAGGAGAGATTTCCGGGGGGACTTCTTCAGGAGGTGTGAATTCCGGGGGGACTTCTTCAGGAGTGACTTCCGAGGAGACTTCTTCACGAAGTGGGGGACCCTCAGGAGGAGAGACTTCCAGGGGGACTTCTTCAGGGTGAGTGACTTCCAGAGGGACTTCTTCAGAAGGAGTCACTTCCGGAGGGACTTCTTCAGGAGGAAGGCTCTCAGGGGGAGTGACTTCCCGGGGGACTTCTTCAGGAGGAGTGACTTCCGTGGGGACTTTTTCAGGAGGAGTCACTTCCGTGGGGACTTCTTCAGGAGGAAAGCTCGCAGGGGGAGTGACTTCCCGGGGGACTTCTTCACGAGGTGGGGGACCCTCAGGAGGAGAGACTTCCGGGGGGAATTCTTCAGGAGGAGTCAATTCCGGGGGGGCTTCTCCACGAGGTGGGGGACTCTCAGGAGGAGAGATTTCCGGGGGGACTTCTTCAGGAGGTGTGAATTCCGGGGGGACTTCTTCAGGAGTGACTTCCGAGGGGACTTCTTCACGAAGTGGGGAACCCTCAGGAGGAGAGACTTCCAGGGGGACTTCTTCAGGATGAGTGACTTCCAGAGGGACTTCTTCAGGAGGAGTCACTTCTGGGGGGACTTCTTCAGGAGGAAAGCTCTCAGGGGGAGTGACTTCCCGGGGGACTTCTTCAAGAGATAGGGGACTCTCAGGAATGACTTCTGGGGGGACTTCATCAGGTGGGAGAATCTCAGGAGTGACTTCCGGTAGCTCTTCATCAGAAAGTGGGTAACCCTCAGGAGGTGTGATTTCCGGGAGACCTTCTTCATGAGGTGTTGAACTCTTAGGGGAGACTTCTACGGGAACTTCTTCAGTTCTGAAATTCTCAAGAATAACTTCTGGGAGAACTTCAGGTGGGAAACTCTCAGGAGTGATTTCTAGAAGAACTTCTGCAAGGGGTGGGGAACTGTCAGGAGGAATGACTTCCGGGGGGAATTCTTCAGGCAATGGGTAACCCTCTGGAGGAGTGATTTCCGGGATGACTTCTTCAGGATGTGGGAAACTCTCAGGAGTAACATCTGATGGGACTTCGGGAATTAGGTTACTCTCGGGGGCAGTGTCTTCTGCGGGGGTTTCTTTGGGGACGGGAGACCCCTCATCGCTAACAACTTCTACGGTGGCTTTTTCGAGAGGTGCAAAGGTTTCTGGAGCAGGCTCATCAGCGGGAATATCTGGGGGATGGGCATTTACCCACAACTGGTTGTAGGTGGCGGTAGAAACCTTACTTAAGACTTGGGTTTCTACCACTTGCTGCTCCAGAGGAAAAGCGGCAGCACACGTAGCCAAAGTTAGCAGTACCTGTTAACACCAAAGGAACTTAATTATTGATATTTACTGGTAATAGCTAGATATTGTAATTTTATATTTTGAGACGTACGGACAAAAAAAATTGGTAATGGTTTAGAATGTGTCGTTAAAAATCTCGTTCTTTTGGAGAATAATGTATTGAGTGCAGATTCTTAAACTTTTTAAGTGGGGAGAGGTATCTTGATTCTGGCAGAAAACTCTTGATCAAAGGAATTGAAACTGCTTCACCTTTGCTCGAGTTAAAGCGAATTGCCTTCCATTCCCCAGCCGCTGAACCAGCCCTACGGGCTTAACGTTCCCTCATGATTAAAACAATAGAGGCTTGAATACTATTCTGTTGTCTTACCACAAAACTCATAAACAGGTGATACTAGATAGATTTCTACACAGAATTAAAGATCATTGGTTACTCGATTTCAGTGGTTTAATCCGAGATCAAAGTATACATATTTGAATAATTTTTTTTGTATCTGTACACAGAGACAGAGGCACACATACGCCTTCTTTATTGATTAAAAAATACCTTGGTATTAGTAATATTAATTTTATGGTATATGAGCTAGCACATAGAAGTACAAAGGCGCTCGAGTATCACACAAGTCTATCTTCCAAAGTCTGTGACGCCGTTTTAAAGTTACAATAATTAAATAAAAACGACTTCAGCTTCTCCCGTTGCTTTACATATTAATCAACGGCCCGCTAAATTTTGTACAAGAAATTCCCATTACATAACGCTGATGATACGCTCTTTTAAACACTAAAAGCCAATCGTGAAGTGAAAGAAAATCGAAACTTGTATACATAATCTATGATAATCTTTGCGTTAAAACTTCAACAGCGTGAATCTCCAAGCTATCTAGTGTTTAATTTATGGCTCTATGCATAAACTTCAGTTACGGTTCAATTATTTCTGACTTCCCATCTTCATTCCTTGCCTTATCTAAGGGAGAAGAAAATGAAACACGTTTTCGAAGCCACTCATATATGTACGTGATTAATAATAATAATAATAATAATAATAATAATAATAATAATAATAATAATAATAATAATAATAATAAATAAATAAATAAACTACTAAATTTTTGACAGCTCAGCTTACATAGGTGAGGACTTAGCTTATATGGAAATCCTGCATTGAAATGAAAAGCGAGTGGACACAAATACAGTACAACACTGCTTGAAACACAACTTACAAATGCCACAAGTCACGCACCTCTGCACTTGAGATATAATTCAAGCCACTAAATGATTCTGAGCCATCGTACGAACATTTGTGAGACAAAACCATCCACTCTATGTTGTTTTCTGCATAAATAACTTGTTTGTATTTTGCAAAACCAGGAACTCAACTTGGTATATACACAAAAATTTATACACCGAAAGTAGTTTATCACGGTATATACACTGAGTCGTCTAGCAAAGGTTATATACGTCTGTTACACGATATATGCACACAGTAGTCTATAATAGGGTATATGCACTGAGAGTCATCTATCAGAGAATATGTATACACAGGGAGTTGTCCGTCACACAGTATATACGCAGTCGTCTTTCACATGTGTATATGGCGCGAATTGTCTATAATATTATATATATATATATATATATATATTTATATATATATTTATATATATATATATATTTATATATATATATATTATATAATATATTTATATATATATATATATATATATATATATACCGAGTCATCTAGCACAGGTTTATATACACCGAGTTATCAGGCACAGAATATATACACCCAATTGTTGAACTTGAAGAACAAGCACCTCCAGACGGTGAGTTCTGGGTATTTTGTGTGACTGTAGGCAGATAATCAGTCATGCAAAATAACTAAGAGCTGCTCACAGTGTAAATATATTGTCTATATTTAGACAATAAATACCTTGACTCAAATCCGATTAAATCCCAGTCCACAAGCACTATATGATTCCAGAGTTTAGCACTTGTGTATATAATTATAAGGTCACCGCTTCGTCTATCACAGAGCATATACAGAGAAAGCAATCTGTCTTAGACTATATACAACCGAGATTAGTCCATCACAGAGCATATTCACTGCGTCATCTGTCACAGGGTATAGTCACTGAGTCACCTATCACGAGGCATATTCACGGAGAAGTGCTTATTTATGGTATGTCAACTGTGACATTTCATTATTTCCTGCATTAGGAAGTACAGTTTTCATGATATTAAATATGAATTGTAGTAAGTCACGTGCACTCGACAGGCTTCAATCCTAACAAAAATAAAATATGTAGATTTTAAGATGAAGCTGAGAGAAAAGTTTGAAGTGACACTTACGAAGACCTCCATGTGTGGAGTTGTGGTGTGGGATGATGTGAAGAGAAGCTGCGCAGTCAGTTTAAATACCAGTAGGCTGGGGCGTCACCACACCACACCGCTGTCCAAGAAATTTTATAGCCTCCACTGCCCTCATGAAGACTTTTCGACCTCGCCGACGCCCGCGGCGACGACCCGAGGCACACCATATACGATACACAATTGCGTGTTGATATCATGTAACGCAAAAGGCAGAATTTAAATCAAGCGTAATTTTGGAAAGAAGGTATCTGATGCAGACGGCCTCGGTAAGCAGGCGTGGCCAGTATTACCTGGTTGCCAGTACAAGAGAGGGGGCAGCTTGGGCCGTCTGCACACCGGTAGATTCCTGGAGGGTCACTTGGTCTGTGATCCGGGGAGGAGGGTACATGAAGGTGCTGCGTTGGTTCCTGTATTATTTAAGCAAAAACTAGCTCAACTTACTACATGAGTAACTAGCTGATGGCGAGTTAAAAATTATGTAAGTTCCAGTATTATTATATATTATGAATAATAGATTAAGTATTTACTGTAATTAAAATATACATTAACTTATACTCGCATAGATATGTAAATATATACGTATGTATGCATCAAGACCACAGTAAACAGGTGATATCACAATATGCAAAACAAACACTGAAAAAAAATGGTAGGATCCCAGTGTTTCGTGATTTCTCACATTATCAAGGACACGTCCTTGATAATGTGAGAAATCACGAAAGTCCTTGGATGTGTACTATTTTTTCACAGGTGTTTTTTGCATACATATGTATGCTTATCCATGTATAGCAAATTTTAAGAATTTTATAATAAAATTTAATATATGTATTTATTAAAACTAAGAAGTGAAGCATTTATTGAAAAACATAAAATTAATTTTAGTGGAAATTAAATGCATCATAGAGCAAGTGGAAGACAAGAACGAAGGAACACGTGCAGCAGGCCTACTGGCCCATACTAAGCACGTCTAATTCGCAACCAATAACTTCCACTCGTGTACCCCTCCAACCAATATTTGAAGCTACCCAGAGTTCTCACCTCAATGACACTATCTGAAAACGTGCCCCATTTATTTATAACTCTATTTCCAAACCAGTACTTCCCAATATCTTTTACATATAAATTTCTAAAACTTGAATTCGTTGCTGCGAACCCTATCTTCGTTAGATAATTTCAACATGCTTCTCATGTCCCTTTTATTTATTCCCGTTATTCCCATTAAACAAATAAGGGAATTATATTATGTTCTCTCGAGTTATACACATCTTGATGCATATATCCTTTGGAAAAGTAGGTTAGATCAAAATAACATGCACAATATTTGTGAACAAGCCTAATGCTAAGAATTATGCAGAATTATTAATTTTTTTTTTAGTACAAGTGTTACACAAAGTTTAAAGGATACGCTTCAACAATAAAGATACCTAACTGTTGCATGTGTATCTTAATCATCAACTTGTGTGTCTTAATCATCAACTTATACAACACACTGATCTGACTGGCTGAGATGAATCCCATGGCTTGTCCCTGTGTCATCACCTGAACAAAATCTGCTAGAAAGGACTTCTTTGTGCCTGCCAATGTGACATCATCCAGAAACCAGATGTTTAGTTCACTTGTTAATCTGACAGTCATTTTCTTAACTACTATGCAGAAGAGAAAATGACAGAGAGGATTTCCTTGACGGGCATCCTGCGATAAAATGATTTTATGCTCCCCAAATAGGAACATTGATTCCTTACTGTATCTAGCTGAAGCAAAAGGGAAGAGACTAGGGAAATGTTTTTGAACAGCTGTTAATATCACATCTCTTTTCAGAAGATTAAATGCGCTCTTGAAGTAATTTTATTACTGCATTGTCCTCAGGCAAGTTGTTGATATACACCCTCGTTGCATGAACCGCTGCTTCGCTGCCTTCAGAGATCCCAAAGTCAAGCTGGTTTAGTTGAAGCATCATGGAGAATAAAAAGGCACAATACCATGGCTGGAACAATACACTGATAACCTGCAGTCTCCTGTGTGTTTTTTTTTTTTTGTGTAATGAAGCATCATGGCCGCCTCTCTGCGAATACATTGGACAGTCACGGCAATTGGCCTAATTTCTCCATCTTTCTTTTAAGAGGCCCCTCAGGGGAGGTTCCATGACGCTGGTGAGGGGCTCTTGATCCAGGGAATTGGATCTGTGCTTCGGTTCCCTGAATTGAGCCTGAATACCTTCCATCCCCCTCCCTCCCCACGCGCTGTTTAATCCTACGGGTTTAGCTCTCCCTTATGATTAAAATAATAATAATAATAATAATAATAATAATAATCTTTTAAGAGGCACAAAACGATGCGTCAAAGAAGAAAGGTTGAATTTTGTCAGGAATCAGACCAGGCAAGGAGTTGTTAACGAACATTGTGATCTCCGATAATAGTCTGAAATCTCCCAGAGAACTGGATTAACCCTCTCTTTTAAATGCTGGGGTTCTGTTCCAGTGTAGCCCCAGTACAGCTGACGTTTAAACGTCTGATTCTTGCACAGTGGTTCCACAGTGGGAAGAGTGGTGTTAGAACTGCTGGTTTTCCTGGCAGGATGCTTTTCTCAAAGTGTTGAGCAGTGTCAGCATCTCTGAGGGAACTGTATCTTTGCTGGTGATTATCCTAATTACCAACACTGTGTTGCCCTCTTCATTTTTTTTGTTCACCTGGACACTGATTTTCTTACTGTCAGTGGATCGATTAGGGATCTGCCTCTCCTGGCTGAAGATTTCGACCTACATATTTTAAACCATACCACGGGCGGGGATAGAACCCGCGGGTTCTATCCCCGCCCGTGGTATGGTTTGTTTGCAATCGTGTCATTACGATTTCGTGAGTCATGCTACACATTTTAAATACGAAGGAGACGAACAGACTGCCATAGTTATTCTGTGTTTTCACAGCAATAGATTCGACTTTCCGTTTTCCAGAAGCGGAAGTGGATTTTTGTGAGAGATAGTTGTTAGCTTTCATGGAAGTGCCCATTTACCCTTCCTTAATCCGTGATCTCACACCGTCTAGAGTACCTTGTTAGAGGTTAGGGAAAGTGTGTCTTTTTTTCTTCAAGCTCCTAGTAAACTGAAAGTTCTTGTGGAGAGAGTTTATCGGTACCTGATGTCGTGGAATACTTGACCTTTACTCTTTACTTACTGGTCTATATTCAAGTCTTGGAAAAACAAGATCCTCCTTGAAGCACTCGGACAATTGATGGAGCTCTCTGTTGTGGTCTCTGAAGCCTTGGGAGCTGAAGTATCAAGTTAATTAAGGCTAAATTTACATTGGTCTTTAAGTCTGCTCGTCGTGATTCCTGGTTCCGGTTAGAGTTTACCAAAGAACTTCCTCGGATTTGGATCAGAGGCTGTCGCCACTGCTTTGGTACAACACTTAGTCTCTCAACGGGAGGAATCTCTCTCTCTCTACACGACTCTGAACGCCACAGAAAGGAATATCTTAACTTAGATTTCAATTCTTGTATGGGTAAGCACTAGTATATGATGTAAGTCCTTGGTTGCAGGAAGCACTTTCGTCCTTTCAGGTCACATCTCCACGTCCTAATGGCTAACATTCCGTATGCCATGATATGTAGTCTCTCTTGTCTTACTGGAATTGTATCATGTGATACAAAAAGAACCTTCTCAACTCGATAAAGATCGGTTACTGTATTTGCACTCCTTAATGAAAGGGAAAAATAATGTAATTCCTTGTTTTATTATTTATATTATACTCATAGAAACCGCTAAACCTCCCTTATCTGTAATGCCAGTTCCATGGCTCAGACTTCTTGCTTGTGCAGATCGTTGAAGAAAGTGACTAACGTCAGGCTGGTCTGGCACACCTTCAGCACTGTGGGATTTTGTCTACTCTGATGGCGATTTCGGAATGTTTAGTGAAATTTCGTTTGTTGCATAAGAAAATCTCTTTGGATTTGACTTAGTTTTCCCAGTTTACTCTTATTTAATTCCTTTCCACGAGATCATAGTTTGTCTCGCCATTACTAGACGCGGGTCTTAGTCATATGACGACCCACCGCTGGAGATTTCGGTCACCTGACCGAGGCCTTCCGCTGGCTTACTGATCCATCTCTTTAATAATTATGGTTATGATTATAACTATATTTGATTATACATGAAATAAATCTAGATGTGGAATTTAAAAAAAATATTATATCGGATTCAGGATTTTTTAGTGAAATTATGCTATGTAAAGATCCGTAATCGGGGTGCATAATTTATAGAAAAATGTAAATGTTTGCCAACTTTATTTGTAATACTAAGGAATAAAATTTAGATGTGAAATTTAAAAAAAAAAATACTGAACTTGCTTTAAAAAATTAGTGAATTTATACCGAGACAAGTGTGATATGAGAAGAAATAAGGGGAAGGGATGGACATAGATATTAGAAGCATTGGGAAATAGGAATGAGGTAAACAAGGAGCACAGGAATGAGAACACATGGACATGAGTGTGTGTTGTGAAGATGATAGAGGATGTGAGAGGTGTGGGTATCGGATAATCATCCCTCTGAGATGACTGGTAGGGGAACGCTAATTTTTGCGTCAAGCGTTACATCCTAGTGTGATCCAGCGTGTTGGAGCTTGCAATGAGAGGGTGATGTGATGGAGAGAGGAACTCAATGTTGGGTTGTGTAGGTGGAGGAGATGAGTCTTGGTCTTGTATGGACTCTAGATCCATGGAAATGGAGTCTGGTTGGTCTTGGAGTTGGAGTGCGATGGAGGGGGGAGGGATTGTAGCTACGTTATGGAAAGGGGGTTGATGGAGAGTAGGGGAGGGGATGGTGGAGGATGGGTAATGGAGGAGAGGGGATGGTGGAGGGTGGGTAATGGAGGGGAGGGGGTAGCATGATCTCTTGATCCAAAGAGTAAGAGCATGTGTGGTCCTTAAGGTTAAGGGTAGATGAGGAGGGTAGAGGATATGGAGAGGGAGTCTTGATCCAAGTGGTCCTGCAGGTTGAGGGAAAGGTGTAGGTGGTGGGATGGAGAGGGGTATGGAAGAGGGAGTGGGTGATGCACGGTTTGGTCTTAGGTGTAGGAGGTGATGGAGGGGAGTAAGACCTGATCCTGGTTGAGTCTTGATCCAACGCGTTGGAAATAGTATAGCAATTGGAGGTCGAGGGGAGTTGAGCGGAGGGGAAGGGGCAAGGGGTGGTCCAACATTATAAATTATAAAAAAAAAAAAAAACGCGGTAAATAAATTCTTAAAAAAAAAAAAAAACTGTGAAATAATCCCTGACTCGGCGCTTCCCCATTTCGAGTTCCCCTCCCCTCCCCCCCCCCCAAAAAAAACACACCTTAGTGTGGCCCGTCATACAGCTGCCCCCGTTTCGGAGACCCAAAAATTCACACATTAGTGTGATCCCCCTCATTATTATTATTGTAATCAAGGGGAAGCGCTAAACCCGTAGGATTATACAGCGCCTGGGGGGTGGGGATGTGGAAGGCATTCAGGCTTAATTCGGGGAACTGGAGCACAGATCCAATTCCCTAAATCAAGAGCCCCTCACCAACATCAAGGAACCTTCCCTGAGGAGTGTGATCCCCCTCAACCCCCCCCCAATCCAATCTGAGAGGTTCCTCCCCTACCGAGTTGCACAAGTGAAAAAAAAGAAATTCATTGCCAGTTTAATTTCTAGGTGAACATGCCCAACGTTTCCATTCGTGCCGGGGATCGAACTATGGACACTCAGTATGTGAGCCCAGTGCACTCCCTGACACCAAGAATTTTTATCTCATAAATAATAAGCCAGTAAACATTTTTAAATAAGGAATAAAAAATAATAAACGCAAAATGTCAGTTGTATTTATGGCATTTATTATGAAAAAGAATTAAAATATTTAATACCGAAAAACAGTTTAGTATCCAGCGAAAGATTTTGTTTTTTTATTATGATAGCATTTACATGTATCAGTCTCACATATGTCAAGAAGGCAGTCGTGTTCTACTCTTTGGATTTGGTCACCTGGATGAAGGGATATCCTGGGAAGCTGTAAGCTCCCGGGAAGCCGTAAACACCAGGCAAGTTGTACACAGTTGGTAAGCTGTAGGTGTTAGCTAGACCAAGACCACTGTATGTCAGAGCTCCAGCAACTGGGCTTGCAGCAACCACTGGAGCGTGGAGACCATAGGCGCCGTATGGGAGAGAGTTAGTGTAGAAGGGAGAGAGTCGGCCGTCAACGCCGGAGAGGAAGCCGGTATAGGTAGAGATTTTGCCGTCCAGGTCGTAATCTGGTGCAGCCTCAGCGCGAGCTGCAGCAGCATCAAAAGCGGCCTTGAACGTGGCTTTTGCGGCAGCGACTTCCGGGGTGTCGTCCACAGGAAGGGCAGCGGCGCACGCGACCAAAGCTAGAAGCACCTGCAGACACAGAGAAACGTAATTTAATAACACTGATGAAACTAAATTAGTCTGCTAGATAATTCAAAATTAATTTTACCTTGACACTAGCATCAAGAATACTTGATGTTGTGTGACCCATTAGTGTTTAACACTTCCTTGTGAATATAACAATGATTAAGAATACTTTAGTATGTAAAACGGGATTAAATTAAGCTCTCGCATATTCACTGGGATACACTCCTCTCGGTATATACACTGAAAATGAGATGCTGTAGCATTAAATGTTGATGTGGAATGGCCAAGTCGTTATGAATTATGACATTATGTCACAACTGTGGGGAGAAATGGCATAAAATACAGAAACCATAGAAAGAAAGATAAATGCAATGTGATGAGATCTGCACCTCAAACCATACCAAGGATGGGGATCGAACTCGTGGCGAGTCGTAAAACTCCAGGCCAGGGTTTCTTTGTCTTAAAAAATATCCATTATGAGCCAAACATTTCCAGTAAAGGATCTCATTACACTGCGTTTGTGTCTGTGTTTCCATGACAATATTATATTGGAGAATATTGTGTCATTGATTGTCTTTTATATTTTGATAAACAGTAGTTATAATCTAGATGTTTGAATACTGTAGTGTTCCCTGGCAGTAAAACTCTTGAGAAAATAGTACTCAACAGTTAAAGAATATATCTGACTTAATATAAATGGTTTCAATCGTGATGTAATGCCGACACACTTGTAGCTGTACAAACCTTTATCACAACGTTTCGATCAAAGGTGAGCTTTGTTGCACGCTTTTTCGCTTAAAGGTGGACTTTCTCAAGCTATGATTTACAAAAGATCACTTGCGAGCGAAACATCTAACACCCTCTGGTCGAAATGTCCTCGCATAACCATATGTATCCCTGTTTTGCCCTCTATCCGCTCAAACTAAATGTGTCGCACCTTTTCTAAATATATTTCCCGAAACTAAGCACAAATAACAGAAGAAATTGTTATTCCCAATGAAATATCCACAGTGTTTGAAGTAGATAAGATAGATATAACTGATAGATTGTTAGGCAACTTGCTTATCCAAGCAAGAGTTTCATTATTTCAAGGCTTAAGTAATCCAGCTTTGCACTTTTCAATTGAACACTGAATGTCCAAGTAGTCGAATATATCAAATAATAATCAATTAGATTCGTTACCAGAAATTCCTAGAAATACCACAAGTGTTTTTAACTCCAATGCCTAAGAGGCAATATTTATGATAGGCTTTGATATTTTTAACATAAGAACATAAGAACATAAGAACGAAGGAACACTGCAGAAGGCCTACTGGCCCATGCGAGGCAGGTCCAAGTCTCCTACCGGCTTAAGCCAATGCACCCAACCTAGTCAGGTCAGGTCACATTGACTTAAGGGAGGAACACGGCAACCGACCTAGTAGCACAAGCTATCAGGTCTAACTCACACCCACCCACATCCACTCATGTATTTATCCAACCTATTTTTAAAGCTACACAACGTTCTGGCCTCTATAACGGTACTTGGGAGTTTGTTTTCCCCTCATCCACAACTCTATTACCAAACCAGTACTTTCCTATATCCTTCCTGAATCTGAATTTTTTTCCCAACTTAAAACCATTGCTGCGAGTCCTGTCTAGGCTAGATATTTTCAGCACACTATTTACATCCCCTTTATTTATTCCTGTCTTCCTTTTATACACCTCAATCATATCCCCCCTAATTCTACGTCTTTCTAGAGAGTGCAGATTCAGGGCCCTTAGTCTATCCTCATAGGGAAGGTTTCTGATACATGGGATCAACTTTGTCATCCTCCTTTGTACATTTTCCAGAGAATTTATATCCATTCTGTAATAAGGTGACCAAAACTGTGCAGCATAATCTAAATGAGGCCTAACCAAGGATGTATAGAGTTGAAGAACAACCTGAGGACTCCTATTATTTATGCTTCTTGATATGAAGCCAAGGATTCTATTAGCTTTATTGCGAACACTTATGCACTGTTGTCTTGGTTTCAGATTACTGCTAACCAGAACTCCTAAATCTTTTTCGCAATCCGTAATATTAAGATCTACATTATTTAGTTTATATGTGGCATGGTTATTGTCCTGTCCAACATTTAGAACTTTGCATTTGTCTATATTAAACTGCATCTGCCACTTCTCCGACCACTGCATCAGTCTATTCAAATCTTCCTGGAGTGCTCGAATGTCCTCGTCAGAATGAATTCGACGGCCTATTTTGGTGTCATCGGCAAACTTGCCGATGTCGCTCTTTATGCCCTCATCTATGTCGTTTATGTAGATTGTGAAACAGCAGGGGGCCCAACACTGACCCCTGTGGAACACCGCTCGTGACACTTCCCCACTCTGATTTCTCCCCATTTATGCAAACTCTCTGCTGCCTATTTGTCAACCATCCCTCTATCCAGGAAAAAATTTCTCCTCCTATTCCATGTGCTTTAATTTTCCTCAATAGTCTCTGATGTGGGACCCTGTCAAAGCCTTACTGAAGTCCATATACACAATATCATATTCATTACCATGATCTACCTCCTCAAATACCTTAGTGAAAAAAGTTAATAAATTCGTAAGGCAGGAACGCCCCTTTGTAAAACCATGCTGAGATCGTTGATTAATTTATGCTTTTCAAGGTGGCTACGAACTGCCTCGGCAATTATTGATTCCATAAATTTTCCCACTATGGAGGTTAGGCTTATTGGTCTATAGTTCGAAGCTAAGGACCTGTCACCTGTTTTGAAAATAGGTATCACATTTGCCATTTTCCACTTATCTGGCACCATGCCAGTTTGTAGTGATTATGTTGAAAAGATTAGCCAAAGGTGTGCTAAGCTCCTCTTTACATTCCTTTAGAACCCTTGCATACAGTTCATCAGGGCCTGGGGATTTGTTAGGTTTTAATTTATCTATTTGCCTAAGGACCATGTCACTTGTGACCCTAATAGTGCACAGTTTATTATCGTCCTGTTCTACATAATTTATCATTACTGGAATATCGCTGGTATCCTCCTGTGTAAAAACTGAGAGGAAGTATGTGTTAAAAATTCTCACACATTTCCTTATCACTGTCAGTGAGCTGACCCGAGGAACTTTTGAGTGGGCCTATCTTGTCCCTGATCTTACTTCTGTATACCTGAAAGAATCCTTTTGGGTTAGTCTTCGATTCTCTTGCAACTTTAACCCTCATAATCTCTTTTGCTTTTCTAATTCCCTTTTTTATTTCTCTCTTTAACTGAATATATCGATTTCTCAATTGCCCCTCTCCTCTTTTGATTTGCCTATATATGCCTCTCTTTTGACCAATCAGATATTTTAATCTATTGTTTTATCCATTTAGGATCATTTTTGTTTGATCTGATTTCCCTATTTGGAACATAATTTGACTGAGCAGCTAGAACTATGCCCTGGAAAGCATCATATCGGCAACCATCACCACCTACCTGACCCTTAGTCAGGTCATTCCAGTTCAGCCCACCCAAGTAATTTTTCAGTCCTATGAAATCAGCCAAGCGAAAGTCAGGGACGGAGACTTGATTGCCATTATTAGGGGAATTCCATGATATATTAAAACTGAGTGATTTGTGATCACTTTCCCCAAGCTCATCATTAACCTCAAGATTATTAATTAGTGTTTCCCTACTGGCAAGAACCAAGTCAAGGAGGTTATTTCCCCTAGTTGGCTCTGTCACAAACTGTTTTAAAAAACAATCCTGGATCGTATCAAGAAAGTCACCTGACTCTAAATTTCCTGTCAAATTGCTCCAGTCAATCTGTCTATAGTTGAAATCTCCCATTAGCACAACATTTTCGTATGTAGATGCCTTACGAATTTCGTCCCATAGAAGTTTACTGCACTCCCTATCAAGATTGGGCCCTGTAAATCACACCCAAAATTGTTTTCTCGGCCCTCGAGAAGCTGTAACCAAAACAGATTCAGTGGCTGACGCTTCTAATTTAATATCTTGTCTAACACAACAATTTAAATTGTCTCTGACATACATCGCTACTCCACCACCTTTCCTGTTGACCCTGTCAGTGTGGAATAATTTATAGCCTTGTATGTGACATTCAGAGGGCATCTCTCTATCTTTCAGATTAAGCCAGGTCTCTGTTATAGCAATAATATCTATGTTTCCTGCACTTGCAATTAATCTTAGCTCATCTATCTTATTTCTTACACTCCTGCTATTAGTATAGTAAACCTTAAGGGAGCTAGTCCCTTGCTGCCCTCTGCTGTCCCCCTTTGTTTGCTGACCTGATCTATTGTCTTTATTTATAACTTCATGCTGAATGCCTTTTATACATTACTGTTTCCAACCCAAGTGTTGCAACCTGCTTGTTTCCCACACACACCCATACCTCTATCTTCCTTCAGTTTAAAATCATAGGCATTTCACCAATGGCCTTCTCAATCGAGTCTGCAAGTGCTACCACCCCAGCCCCAGAGAGATGTACCCCATCCCTTGCATTACATATCATGTTTGCCATAAAAGTTGTTCCAGTTGTCAATGAATGGGATTGCAAGTTCCTTGCAGTATCTGTCTAGCCAGCAATTTACACCAATTGCCCTAGACAACCATTCATTTCCCACTCCCCTTCTAGGCAAGATGCTACATATTGATTGGGATCCCTCCTTAGACTTAATGAAATCTATAGCTGACCTGTACTTATCTAGCAGCTCTTCTCTCCTACCCTTCCCAATATCATTTCCACCAGCACTGAGACAGATAATGGGCTTGCTCCCATTACCTGACATGATATTATCCAGCCTGTTGACAATGTCCCCAACACCAGCACCAGGGAAGCACACTCTATCTCTCATCTTCTTATTCCTATTACAAAAAGCACGTCAATGTATCTTACCTGAAGAGTCACCAACCACAAGAATGCGCTTACCTCCATTAGCAGGGGCAGTAGTACCCTTACCTTCACTGGCCACTGAAGTACATTCATACCTGAAGAACAGAGAAGCGATTTCCTACCTTCAGATCTTCACTCTTAACTTTCCTTACTCTGATGCGCCTTCCATTACTGTGAACTACTCGCCACTTGTAGCAGTGCTGGGCTGCACCTCACTGCTGGTAGCCGTTTGCTGCCTCCCCAACTACAGCCTCCTCACAGCGAGAGACAGACTGCACCTCGCTGCTAGAAGCCTCATTCCCCACAACTCCAGCCACCTCACACTCTCTCCCAGACCCATTGAGGTGGACCTTCAGCCTCCTAATCTCCTCCTGGAGAAGCAAGACCTCCTCCTTCAACTCTCCAACCTCAATTTTTAAAACACTGCAGAAGCAAGCCATGCTTTGTAACCGTCCACACTAATCCCCAAAGCAGCTCAGGGTCTGTGACCTCACGTGACGAGTCTTGTCTCATGCAGAGCACAGGAAGACAAGGTTCTCAGCTGACAAGCTGGTAATCAGTCGTAAATATGAACTGTCATAATTAAGGGCTAATGTATTAAACTGTCAAATATTTAAAAAAAAAAATTAAGGGCTAAAAACAAACTATTTGACTGTTTCCAAGTTTTGTATCACTCACAGAATTAGGTAACTGTCGGTGCGCAACTTAAATTTTTTTATGGCAGTGATCTAGAAATCTATGTATATGTCCCGTTTCAGTACATAAAATAATCTAGTATAAAATATAATAAATAGCATACGTATTATTATGTTATAGTCAGTAATAGCACATTCACCAACTCGCACTTAAGAGAGGAATCTTAATGGCTTGTTTTACCCAAGTTGCAACTTGATAATGATCCGTTGTGGATTATTATCAAGTTGCAACAAGGGTAAGACAAGCAGAGAAAACCTGAAAACAATACGGTAGTGATAGTGGACGTATAATGAGCGGCAGTGAAGGTGGTAGTAATAGTAGTAAGTAGAGTTAGCAGCGGTAGTAATGAGCCTACCAATGGCACAGCAAAATTAATATTATTACTCTGAAGATGCAACGGACAAAAAAATGGAGGGTTACTTACGAAGACCTTCATGTCTGGAGATGTGGTGTGAGCTGATGTGAAGAAGAGCTCTGTCGGCAGTTTAAATACCGACCAGCTGGGGCGTCACAACACGACACCGCTGCATCGTTTTGTCCATGAAAATTTCCAGCCTCTACTCCAAAACTCCTTTTCCATCCCCTTCTGCCCACTCCTGCAGTGAGGGCCTGATCCTCATACCACATACGTAACGCAAGTCCTAGTTTATTAAATGTAAAAAGGGTATTTTTTTTAATATGTCAAATGTAAGTTTGAGAAAATGGTATCTCATGCAGATGACCTCGAACGTTAGGCGTGGTCACTGATGGTCGCTATGGCTACAGGGAATCCTTGAGCATGGGAGGATTGGCCGCCTGTAAACCGGGAGGATTCCCGTGCATCACTGTCCGTGCAGGTTAAATTTAGTCACCCGCCACAACAACACTGTTCATTAACAGTGGTAAGAATCATCATTTTGCCCCGAGGAGCGAGTTTATTGGGTAGTGTCACTCATTCTGTGAGTGAACATATCTCCATGAAAGTAGTGAATTAAAAACTAGATGTAATTCCGTCGCTGGGAGATCCAGTAGAGGTATCCTTGTATCCCACGAGCCCAGCCTCCTCCACCTCAGTGTACGCAAATGGAAAAGCGTCGGGCGTTCAGGAAATCTGAATGTAGCAAAATAAAATAATATATGTGTGTGGGTAGGATTGCATGCACGTATGTACACGTTTGTATATGTATGTATGTGTATATATGTGTATGCATGTATGCGTATTTATGTATTGTGTATACATGTACTCATGTACATTTGCGTATGTTTGCATGTATGTAGATGTGTCCATTCAAGTGTGTATGTATTCTTGTGTGCATATGTATGCATGTATAGATACATATTTATGCAAACGTATATATATATATATATATATATATATATATATATATATATATATATATATATATATATATATATATATATATATATATATATATATATATATAATATATATATATGTCGTGCCGAATAGGCAGAACTTGCGATCTTGGCTTAAATAGCAACGTTCATCTTGCCATATAGGACAAGTGTAAATTTGTTTATGCAATAATTTCGCCAAAATCATTCTAAACCTAACGAAAAAAATATATTTGATTGAGTTGTTTAGTATTAAATTATTGTAAACGTATTTAAAATACATTTAGTTAGGTTAAGCTAAAATAAATTGCTCTTGTTATAATAAGGTTAGGTAAGTTTTTTAAGATTCTTTGGTGCAAAATTTAAAATTTTACATTAACATTAATAAAAATATATATCTTTAAACGTATAAGAGAAATTTTTAGAAAGGACTTAATTTTAAATGAGTTCTTGCTAATTGACCAGTTTTACTTATTCGGCACGACATATATATATATATATATATATATATATATATATATATATATATATATATATATTATATATATATATATATATATATATATATATATATATATATATATATATAATTAAGTCTAGTGCCTCTCTTTACCCGAAATTAGAACAAATAAGTAAAAATGAAGACATAAGAGAGCTGACAATAACTCAAGGTCACATTACAGTTTCGTAAAATATTATCAACTAACATCAAGTCACTAAAATGAAATAAATAAATAAATTGCTTAAATGTAAGCAAAATAAGTAAAGTAATATATAATGGGCCAAAATTGAAGATCGAGTGTAAATTGAAAGATATAAAGTTGTTGTGGGTTAATAACCCGGAATGAAGTGGAACCAAGAGTCAAGTAGCAGTTCCGGTGTCTTGACAGTAACGTAGCGTAGCAGAGGTGTGTGTGTGTGTCTTTCACCCGATATATACATTTGAAGGATCGTATCACACGGTATATACAGTGTATATACACCGAGAGGTGTGTATCTTTCACCCGATATATAGACTGGAAGGTTTGCATCTTGCACACATGGTACATGCACTGTGTATACACACCGAGAGGTATGTATCTTACACCCGATATATATATATTTAAAGGTTCGTATCACACGGTATAAGCTGTGTACATACACTGAGAGGTACGTATCTTTCACCCGATTTATGCACTGAAATGTTCGTATCTCACACCGTGTATGCACAGTATATATACCGAGAGGTGTGTATCTTTCACCCAGTATACACAATGAGGTATGTATCTCGTAAGTGTATATGCCTTGGGTTTTCTTTTATCAGGAAAAACTGGAAAATGTCTTCTCCAAAGATCTCTTCGTTTTGAGAATTCAAATATTATTGTTATTATTGTCAAGGTAATGTCCTGCCTTGATGACTGTTTAGTCGATAGACCTTAAACCCAACAAAGTGAGGACACTGACAAGTACCGAGTGTGTGACAAAATAATTTAACTATGTAAATAACCAGTGAATGTCGTATTTCCTTGCTATATATATTAATATATTAACTTATTAAGTTATTATGTAGGTTAGTATGATGTATTGCTTTGAATATAATTGTGCTTAATGATATGCATTCCTTAAATACGTAATAATTCATACCCAGAATGATGAATAATTTAATTATAAGCATATACTCATAGTAGGTTCACTTGCAGGAAGTGTACATAAGGAAACTGACGACTTTTGTGTGTCTCCTCAGCACTGTAAGTTCAACTATTAACCATCGTTTTTGTATTAAATTCAGGTGAAGGGTTTTTGATCCAAGAAATTAGAGATAGCCCCCCCTTCCTACCTTAAATCAAATTACCTCCCGTTTGTATACGATCCTTTATTGACGAGGTTTCGTTCATGTAGTCACATGGCGCCCACTTTGCAGGCGAAGCGTTGTCAATAAGAGATCACATTATATAGCATTTGTGTCTTGATCCATCGTGTCGGTAGTTTATGCCATTTCTTGCCAAATTTCCTTCATTTCCCAGATGTTTACGGATTTAGCACTTCCCCATTAATAATTTTGCTTATTAAATAATATTCTGATGGCTTCTTGCTGACACTTCCGAAATCTAACTCCAACTACAACCTCATTCTGAAAAAGTACTTCCTATGAGAGAGCTGTGGTCGTATAATTTGAATAAACTTTCTAAATTTTACATTGGAAACTGTGGGGAAAATGAGTTGTATGGATCAAGGAGTGTATTTTGTGGGTGTGGGAGGGAGTTGTAGGGGCATGGGAGTGCGTCTGCAGGTAATGGGGGAGGTGAGGTGAAGGAGTGTGGGAGTGAGTTGTAAATGTTGGGATACTATTAATACCAGTCGCAGAAGATGGAACTCTACCCTGTGAAAGAGGTGAACAGGTCCAGAAAGTGGAGCTCAGCAGCATCTGGGCCATGAACTGCAAGCTCGGTGCTTTTAGGAGGCCCATGAGCTCGAACTCAACAGATTTTTATTGCCAGATATTAGCCAGTGGAGGACAAGCTTGTACACTGTAGACAGCTACATGAAACTAGCTCTCCTCAAAGAGAGATGAGGGGCTCTTAATCCAAGGAATTGGACTCGTCCTTTCCCTTCCTTGGCTCGAACCTGAGTATCTCTTATTCTTCAATCGCTGTATCACCCCTACAGGTTTAGCGTTTTTCAAAGGAAATAAATATTTTACATAGACTAAGCTATGACCGTGGTAAAGTATACAGTGTGTAATTAAGACACACAATGCGGGTTATCGTGAAGGCGTTTTGTCCACGAGGAACTGTATGAACGAGACATTTTGACTGTATCTTTAGGGGCTAGAGAGAGAGAGAGAGAGAGAGGAGAGAGAGAGAGAGAGAGAGAGAGAAATAGGGGGGGGAGTCTGAAGTGAAAAATTTGAGGCCATGAAGTCACATGTGATTAGCCCAGAGTAGCATGTGAGGTTAGGTTATCGCAGAATTATTGGTTGTCGGAAAAATAATCCTCGCTGAAACATGGAGATTCAGAATGATCCTGAGTTTTTATCGAGGTTGTGGTTGTGGCTGTTACTGCGGATTCTAATCATAAACTGCTGCGACGAGTTTTGCGACGGGTCTTACTTCTGGAAAGTTCATAAAGAGGCTTTCAGTGTTTCTGCGTCGAGTGCATACGTCTGTACCATACCATGTGGAGGCTGTGACAAAATTTATGTCGGTATAACATCTAGAGTTGTGGATGCTAGAGTCAAACGACGACACTGAGAGTACTAGATGTTCCAGACTATAAGCTGAACTCTTATCTATAACTACAATAAAAATATCCAACTGTAACACATTATTTATATTAGCTTTCACAGAGAGGAGAGAATGCTGTTACACATCTATACACCGCATAATGCTCCTCAAGAGCGCATGCGCATTTATTTCTAATGAAATATGCTCGAGAAATTAGCAATGATTTAGTTCCTGTAGAAGGAGAAAAGAAAAATAATCAAACATATTTTAAAGTTTAATTAAGATAAATGTATTTCAGCAATATTTACACATTTTGCAGTAGTGTCGACATGGCTAAGTGGAAGTGATAACCTTCAGGTGTTTAGAAAATGTTCAGCAACAAATATTGCAAATTACCACAATTACAAAAAAGTGAAAACATCTTGTTGAGTGAAAGAAGATATATACCAAGTTAGGTTTCTATCTACACGTTCATTATTAGTACAGAAGAACAAAATACGATATCCACACACTGGGTCTTACACAAGGACATGTGATTCCACGCCACTGTGGTTATTTAATATGGCTGTGAGAAAGGTGATTGGTAGCAGTAGTGAGAGGTCTAGTCCTTTTAAGATAGTAAATCTCACATGAGGTGGGAGCTGTCACTATTTGCAGATGATACAGTGCTTTTTTTGGAAGATTCAGCATTGCGGAATATAGAAGCTAGACTGGAAACGGAGCTCGAGTGAGTATGCAACCCAAGAATGCAGAAAATTGCACAGTAGAGGTATAGGGAATTGATTTAGTGGCCTGAAGGGTATAGAGAGGGTGAAAACTTTGACGTGGACTGCAAGCCGATGGGATCTGTAAATTGATAAGAGAATGAAAATTTAAGTCTGTTAATGGAAGAAGAGAAAGAATATATCAAAGTATGAGTGTTTATCATTGTCTTAAAATGTCAAAATGTTGTAGCAAACAGAAGGATGGAGTGTGAGGAAATGCCTGAGATCAATGTATTGTGGGAAT